TTTGTTTCGTGAAAAAGTTAAAGTCGTTGGTGAAGAAGCATCAGTAAAGTTGGGAGAATGCAGCAACCATGAAAAAAAATCAGAAAGATGATGGAGAACAGAGAAGTTGGAAGGATGTTGCAGCTATGAATAACAATGAAGACGAATCACCTAGATGAGTCACCTACGTTCCATGAAATTAGGGGAAGGCTGTTATTCATATGCTGTTAGTATTGATGAGTTGTCATCATTGAGCTGTCAGTTTGTTAGATTAGTCTAGAATGATGATTGTATGTGGAGTCTTATAAATAGCATATTGTAGTATTGCAGGAAGGCATGAAGGAAATACATTTCTGTTTTTCATTTTTGTTTTACTGTTATATTAAGTTTGTTAACATTCTTCAAGTGATTTTTTTGTTCGCCATGTCTTGTTTTTTATTGCCAAAAAGCTTATGTACAGAGCTTGAGGATATCACGGCACGCTTTTGGTGGCAAAAGTCGGAAAAGAAAAGAGGCATTCACTGGTGTCAATGGAAAATGTTGTCCTAAAGAAAACGGGGCTCTCGATTTTTTAGATTTGGTGAAATTTAATATCAAAACAAGATTGGCGTCTGTTCAACAATCCATCATCTTTGGTAGCTCGGCTTTTGAAGGCAAAATATTTTTCTGCAGGGGAGTTCTTATCACCTTGTCATTTCACTTTCTTATTTTAATCAGCATGACTGCAAGTGCAAATTTTGGAGTGGCGAGAAATCGACTATTATTAGTAGAGGGTTTCGTTTCGCCAGCAACGTCAGTCGTGTTTAAACACATTTGGGCTAGTTCGTGTCAAAGAAAAATCAAATTGCAGGAATGGCGATTCATTCATAATTTTATTGTCTTTACAACATTTGTATGTAAAGCATATTGTAAATAACACCACATGTCCGAGATGTAATACAAGTGCTGAAAATGGAGTACATATAGTAAGAGATTGTATGTTGGAGCAGTTAGTATCTAAGAAGCACAGTGACGGCAAAGGAGCCCCGTTTCAAGTACTCGATACGTTTTCGGCACAAAGACGGTTAGGTTACGTACCGAGGACGTGTCACGGTGGCAGAATACGTCTGACCGAATTCGAGGACGGTCAAAACTTATCCAGGTACATTTCGGGGACATCCCCAAAGGTAATTTTGGTGATGTTCCTCGGCTCGTCGTGGAGTCTCGACGCTCATCGACGGCGAAGTCATGGTTGTTCATTCCCACGAATCCATCTCCTCTTGCTCTGTTCTTGTTTCTCTTCTTGGCAACCTTGTGCCAGTATTTTAGAGACTTGGCCGTTTGCTCCTCGAATATTGATTTCTTCATGTAATTCTGCAACACGACCCACGACAACGACGGATGAGAGCCAAAGCTCGCGGGTTTCCTATCAACACAATCTCACGTCGATTACGAGGGTTGGGGTTTACAATATGGAAGCTTTTGGACGATGACCGACAACCTACATACCTTAGATTAGTAAGAATGACGGCGACTCGACGATTGTGGATGAGCGTTTGTGGAACAACAAAGGAAGAAGGGAAAACAAAGGAAGGGGAGGAAAAGAAATAGGGGAGGCGCGTCTGAATGTTAGAATAAAACCATGGATTTGTGATTATAATAAAAAATGGCATAATCGCAGAGTTAATCCTAAAATATTTTAGGGTTTACTAAACAAGTTACATAATTTATAATAATAATAAAAATAATAATAATTTTGTGACGGAAATAATTTAGGGATTTAGGCCAAAATTCTCAAATCTTAAAGTTTCAATTTTTTATTAAATATGGAATTTATGAATTTTATTTTCTAATATTATAATTTATTTATAGATTTTATTTTTAATTTTCTGTGAAATATTAACTTTATTTATGATTTTTTATATCTATTTATAATTTAATTTTTTTTATATGTCGCACTCTTACTCTCCTCATAGCATATAATTTTAGGAATTATCATTTTTCGTCCCGTTGTAGTATGGTCAGAAATACAATACTCATGGTCATGAATCAATTTATCCACCGATTTTATGGTCTGGTTAGATTGGTTGTTTAATCATCACCCAAATAACAAGCATGCAAAGATTTTAGTGGTGATATGGGCCTTAAGGTACGAGAGAAACACACAGTATCATCAAGGCAAAGTGCTCAGAAAGAGGAAGTAATTACCCTTATCAAGACCCAATGCACCGATTACATAAAGGATAACACGATCATTTATGGTCCGCAGAAACCCATTTCGGTCCGATGGAAAGCTCTTAGTCCACCGGCAGTGGAGATTAACTTTGATGTGTGTTTTATTCATGCCCAACAACATGCATGGACAGTACTAGTAATTAGGAATAATTACGGATTCATAATGAGAGCAAGTAGGCGATGGATTCAAAGGATTACCTCTGTGTTCATGGTCGAGGCTACTGCTGCTCTCCACGCTGTATCGTTCGCTGCAGATTTAGGCTTATCCGATATCATTATTGAGGGTGATTCAAAAGCGGTCATCGAAAAACTGAAATCGTCGGTGTCTGATCTCTCCGAAACCAGTGCATTAATCTGGGTGGTTAAAGGTAGGGGGACTTATTTTCGCTCGTGCTCATTCTGTTTTACCCCTCACACGGCGGCGCATCTCCTTGCTGCAGAGACATCGTTGGTAATGAATAACTTGTTCTGGATTGAAGAAGCTCCCCGTCAGGGCCGACCCCAATACCTGTGCCACTTGGACCTTATCCCAGGGCAGTTATATTTGAGGGCATCAGTTTTGCACATATATTTGGTCATATTCTTGACTCCACAAAAGAGCCTTGTCTTGCAGCACTGAACTCTATAAAAGATTACCCACATCCAGGTTTTCTTCACTCTTTCTAGTTTTAAATTTTTTTTTTTAAACATAATAGTTGAATTTTCGTTAGAGTTTTTGGACAAAATGAGTTAATAGGTATTCTTTGGATGGTATTATTAGCCTGAAAAAAAAAGTTGCATTTTTTTTAAATGGATGAAAAGTATTGAGATTACACCAATATGGGTTATTTGCATGGTTTTCAGAATCGGACCGGTTAGCGAACCGACCATGCTATCAGTTCATTGGTTCAACCGGTCCGACCGGTCGGAAGAGCAGGACGACATCATAATTATTTAAAAAAATTAAATAAAATATCAAAAATATTTAATAAAAAATAATTTTTTATATCACAAGTTATATTCAAAGCAAGCCATAACATATATAAGTTAAAAATCATAAAATCAAGTGAAATAAAATGATTCAAATTAACTACAACATAATATTTAAGGTAAAACATATTAAATAATAAATATAATTATATAACTATAATTAAAAAATTAATTTGGGGCTAAAAAATCATAACAAAATGATATTGTTTGGTTTAATTTTTTTTTAAAAACAATCTCACATGGCTAAGAAACATAGAAGAGCATCCCAAAAGTCTAAAGAGTAAAAATATGAGAACAAAATAATCTTACATGGCTAAGAAACATAGAAGAGCATCCCAACTAACTTCTATAAATAATAGAGGTAATTTGACATTTAAAATCATAGAGCCTTTTGGTGAGCATTGAGTGAACTATTCTTTCACTTCAATCAAGCTCGAATTTTAGGTTTCAATCGAGCTTCTAAATTTTTTTCGAGTTCAAGTTTCAATATTATATTTCGAGTTCGAGTTGAACTTTATAATTTTTAGCTCGTGAGTTTGAGTCGAGTTGAGCTTACTTTTAAAGTTTTCAAGTTCGAGTCGAGCTCAGCAATACTCGAGTTCGACTTGGCTCGTTTAACAAACGACGTCGTTTGGTTTAATTTTTTAAAAAAAACCAAAATTGGCAGTTTTTTTCAATTTTCAGTCAGTCCGGTTCGAACGGTTCAGCGGTTTCGATCGGTTCACTAGTAGCGATTCAACCGGTGTAGATTGAACCGGAATAGGCAGCGGTCCCGGTTGAACCGGACGGTCCGGTCTGATTTTTAAAACACTGGTTATTTGGGTGATGGGTTTTTCTTTTTGAATATTCGAAAGCATGCCTCTTTTGTTTTCTTTATTTACATCTGATTTCTATTTGCATTTCTTTATTCAGGTAAGTTAAGGTAAAATATAAATGGGTTTTCTACAATGTAGTTTTAGTTGTAGAAAAAACCTAAAACTTAGGCATAAAATGTATTAAGTTCCCATTTCATCTCGAATCAAAGCTTTATGAGTTTAGTTCACTTTGTTTAACAAATCTAGTGCTGATAGTTTGATTGTTTGAATTTTGATTGTGTAGTGATAAACTTAGATTGATGAAAAGAAAAAAAACAGTGTCTAAATATTTTCGTTCAAGACATTTTTTAGAGTGATTCTTTCTGATTATTTTGATTTCATCATTAATTTTTCAGATCAATTGATTGTGTGAAAGAACAAGTGAGAAAAAACAAGTCAATAGCATAAACTTCGATCATCGGTCAGGTTGTATCTTTCGTTGCTAATATATCTGTTTTATTATTTATTGGCTACTATATTTTTTATTGATTACTTTTAAATATGTTACTTCAAAAACAACCATCGAGTGCCCAAAATAGAAAACAAAAAAAAAACAAAAACAAGAAATACAGTATAAGTATAGGGGCATAAAATTATTATCTCGTCCAGAGTATTAAAATTTATTGGACCGGTCCTGCTCCCGTTGCGTGGAAGATCAAGCATCGGAAGATCATCGTTTCATATGCTTTAGCAAGGAATCTGAAACGTCAACCTTCGCTTCTTTTCTTTTTGATTTTTGTTTTATTTCAATTTGTTGGCTCTATTATTGTGGAACAACTAGCGTTCATTTTCATCAATCTAAGTTTATCACTACACAAAGGGTTGGCAGTTTCTTTTGTTAAAAAAATTTGCTTAAACTTAATTTATATTCTGAATGTATAAGTTTATTTTTTTGTTCTAAAAATTGAAGGGAACTTCTCTACGTATCAGTACCAACCAAGGTCAATTCAAACCATGTGAAGAACAACTTAGGGAAACAAGTGAAAATAAAACACAAGGAATGGCGCTTCAAACTCGCTACTTTCACTATATAACTCTAACAAATAACAGTGAGGCTATGTAATAAAAGTTTAGTTTAAAAGCAGCAATCTTCACCTCAAACAGTATGAAAACGGAAAATAATACAAGTCAAACTTTTTCTCATAGCAAACATTAGCTAGCTACCACTGCCACCTAAAGACTTCGTTGGTATCGTGCATTGGGATTAGCAGTACCACGAAGATCTCTTAACATCGGTTTTTGTCCACTCATTTCTGCACTTCCATGGTATGCTCTAATGTTCGGTGAAGCTTGATGGATTGCCGAATCATTCGGATTGCTGCCAATCCCCAGCTTCACAAGGAATGTTGCAGAGCAACCTTTGTCATGGCCCTCGCTCTCGATCCATATGTGGCCTCCCATCAAATTTACAAACCTGGTTCAAACATTTGAGAACAAAGGTCATGTGATGACTACAACAAGTTGGCAGCCTCATTTCGATGCCTATTTGGATGGTCCCTTTATAATATGATTAACAAGCAAATGTTTCTTATGCAAAGGAATTCAGTATTCCTAATTTTACCTTCTACAAATAGCAAGTCCAAGTCCAGCTCCACCGTTAACGGATCCACTTCGAGGATGTGCAAATTTGGTAAAGAGATTTGGTATATCTTGTGGGAGAACACCACAACCAGAATCCTTAACCTGCAAGAATAGATGATAGGATCAACAAGGGCATCCAGACAATCTACACAAGGAGACCACTTGGATGTAATTCATAAACAAAAGCCAGCTTTAATGTATATATATCCTAAATGGAATGAGTCGAAAGGATATTTAAAACATTTTATAGCAATAGACGATCAATAGATGCCTTAATAACAAAAATCGTCTTTAAATTACTATTAGGTGACTCAGATCATATGGTCAAAAAATCTAAACAGAAGTAAACTGAAATGAAAATAAAGTTAAATGAAGCAATTAAGAACCTGCACTCGTAAATAGAAATGGCCTTCGATTGACACGGGGTAAAATTCTGGAGGCCGCCAGTCTCTTAAAGACTCTGGTTTTGCAACAGCAACTATAATTGAAACATAACCCTCCTTTGTGAACTTAACAGCATTACCCACGACATTTAAAATAGTTTGCATAAGTCGTTTCTCATCACCAACAGCAAACATTGGCAAATCAGGTGCCAGAATCATAGTCATAGATAGCTTCTTTACAGATGTGATTGGCTTTATCAGATTAATGACCTAAAATGAAAAAAATATCAACATTAATACAGTTTTTTCCCATTTCTTTCATAATATATATATAATATCCAATTAACTACCTCTTTGAAGATTCCATGAAGATCAAACATTCCAATTTCTAGTTCTAGGTTATTATCTTCAAGTCTTGAAAGATCCAAAACATCATTGATTAGTGTTGCCAAAAGATTGCTACTCTTTAGCACTGTCTCTATCATAACTCTTTGCTCTGGAGTTAGCTCAGTCTCGAGAAGAAGGGAACACAATGCAATGATTGCATGCATTGGCGTTCGCATTTCATGGTTCATTACAGCAAGGAAATCATTCCGTGCGTGAATTGCCCTCTCGGCCTCTCGGCGAGCCAAATCTAAATCACCATTTTGTTCCATGAGCTGATCACGGGCCCTCATAGATTCCTCCAGAATCGCAGCATGAGAGAGAGCAACAGCAACCTGTACAAATACTACCACACGTTCAGCGCTGGAGTCATGTTAAGAACCAAAGGCTCATAAATCATAATAACTAAATTACATTGTCTAACTAGGAGAAGACAAAATCCAATCATTAAAGCTTTTTAAAAGTAAATTCATAAATTTACAACCAAGTACACAATCAAAACAGAATGTGAGCATATCATTAAGACGTTATAAAAGCAGCCAACAAATGAAAGCACATAAAGATTACCTGGTCTGCCACAACTTCGACAAGTTCCAATTCATGATCTCGCCATTTTCTGGCACTATCAGTGGGGAGAATAAGGACCATGACCGCATAGCTTTTGGTGGAGAGATCAGGCCAGTCATTAATTTGGAAATTTGAGAGATGTAAAAGTGGTACCCGAACAGCAACAACCTCTGGGGGCACGTATCTTCCAACTAAAGGTCTGATCCTAGCTAAAGGGCAGGTATAGGGTATACGCACTGCTCGAGCACTATTGAATACTTCGTTGACAACTGGAAGATTTATTTGCACAGTTGATCCAACTTGTATTTGGTAGTTTAGAGTATGGGAAAGTTGCAGATCCATACCGGTCCTTGATGGCATCCACAATGCACATTCCTCCAGGCCCAATGTCCTACCTAATTCAACAAGGGTGGTCTTCAATATCGTATGCCTGTCGAGTGTGCTCCTAATTTCATGAGTTAGCATCCTTACATGCCTTCCAGTTTCTTCTTGAGTGAGAATAAGGCCCATCTCCCTGTCTAGTTGTTCCGCCTTGTTCCTCAGAAATAACTCACGAGTTTTAACACTCAACAAATCGGGAATAATGTGTACAAGCATCAAAGCAGTTACACATGATACAAGAGCACAAGAAACCTTCGCAATTGTCATCACCACAGCAACGGCTTTAGTGTGCATAGCGAATGTCCACAAGTTTATAAAGTGGGTTGCTCCACAAAGAATGATGAAAGCACCGAATTGCATAAGCACCCATCGATACGGGAAGAATGCAGACTTTTTAACAAAATAGATAAGTTCCAGAGGAATTGAGAAATAAGCCAAGGCGATTAAGACGTCCGATATATATTGATACTTAACCAGAAGCTCATCGGGTGGCCACTGAGAGTCAATACAGTAACAAGCCTCCATCATGTGACAATAACAGCTCTAAATCTGAAAAGAAAAGAAAAGATTATATAACTTACAATTCAATAAAGGAAATGAAAAATTCCTTCTGCTCACATATATCCTGAAAGATCTGCTTAATTTTAGGATTTCCCTCCAAATTCATATAGCCGTATTTAGATGGAATATCGTGCCACATTAGTGAGAAAAACTCAATACAATGATAGGATTCATTAAGTCACTCTTAAAATTATCCTACAAGAACATTGGTATAAGATTCAATTACAACTTTTTATATATGAAAAGAACATTAATATGTTTTCTCCATAAATATTCACCGTCGTCTTCCACATCCTTATACATTTGAAAATAATAAAAATAGAAGGAAAAAATTTCCTGAAAAGGTTTACATAGCTAATCAGTAATCGGCTAATCGCATCACTAAGTTAATGATATGGAATCAAAATTAATTTTCTAGAGAGATAAGCTATTCTTCCTTTTTTTCAAATGAAACTAACTTCTCTAAGCATCAAACACAGTTTAAGAAACGAAACTACGAAAAAAAGCATACAAAGCCTGAAACTCGTTAATCAGGATACATAGTTCATCTTAAAAATAACAGTAAATGGATCTCAAAAACTAAATCTAAAGATAGATAAAGATTAAAAAGGGAAAGATGAATAGATTACCAAGATAGGGAAGAGAGAAAAGGAGATCGGATGGCCAGAGATTAGTAGCAGATACGAGGAGCTTGATCCAAGCCGTCCATTTTTTGAGATAGCGGCATCCCTTTCCCTTCCGAGCTTCTTTCTTTGATGTTATTAAAGTTGCAACTCGCAACTTGCCAGAGAAAGAAGAAGGAAGGTAGGAGGGGAAGGTGGGAAAAATGAGTAAAGTGGAAGAGAGAAGGGGGGACCAAAGCCAAAGGCTTTCACGGTCACGGACAGTGAAGACGGCGCAGTATTCAAAGGGAGGTTTTGCACGTGCAGGAACTGATTTGGATTTTATTTATTTTTTTAAAAGTTTTCTGCTACGTGCGAATCCATTTCGGTGATAAAGGTGTCCATATTGGATGGATCCGTGTATAAAAATTTAAAAATAAAATAAAAACAGCAAATTTCTTACTGTTAATGTGTTGTTGTAAGAAGTCTGCCAAGTGAAAGCTGTTCCAGGGGCGTGGTTGTGATATGCAAAGTGTGCGATCGCGTAGGTTTCAAAAAATAAGATTTTAAAATTGAGTATATTTATCGATTGTTATCGTTAAGAAACCTCAAAAAATAAGAGTCTCGAAATCGAGTATATCTATTAGTTGTTACCATTAATAAGCTCAAAAAATAGGGGCCCAAAAATAAATTCGAGATCTAAGGGCCCTTTAATAAAAATTTGTATAGGATCTCTAACAATCTAACCACGACCCTGAGTTGTTGTACGATCTCACAAAATTAGGATATTAAAATTAATATGAATTCAAATTGTTTCAACTTTTGGATAAATAATTCTCCAAAAGTTAAACTGGGTAAAATATTTTTTTATCAACAACTAGTTAGTTTAGTAAGATGAGATACTAAGTCATTTAAGTAAGGTCAAAAATTTGAATCATGATATTTATGAATGGAATAAACTAGATTGGGAGGGTCACCATCGCTTCTGCAGTACCCGAACTGGATTGGGAGGGTCACCCTCGCTTCTGCAGTACCCAAACTGGATTAGTCAGTCAATAGATTGGATATCAGTGATTAATTAAAAAAATGGGTAAAATATTTTTTTATTTTTTAAAAGTTGATAAAATTAAAATGATGGTGTTAAAAAAACATATTATGCACGATCATGAGTTATTCGATGACATGAGTAACATGTTGCGGAATACGGTTATAGGATAGAGTAAAATCGCAACTGATAATTTGAGAAAATAAAGATGAAGGTAAAGAATACAAAAAATTTACGTGGAAAACCCCTAAATAATATAGGGTAAAAAAAACCACAGGCAAAAGTAGAAGAATTTCAATGAGAAAATAGGAATTACAACTTCTTTCGATCTAATAAGGAGAAAACAATGACAATTCTCTCTTGATAAAAAGGAGAAAACAACTCTCAAGAAACTCTCTAAATTCTCTAGTATTTGGAGAAAGCTAGAATGATTTGGAATGGTTTTGAAGCTAAATGGGTTAGAGTATTTATAGTTGAAGCTTAAGGACTAATCTTGTAAATACCCTAAAGTACATGGACTAAAAGAGCAATTTTACATACCATTTTTCAACCAAAACATGATGCCTAACTTGGACTAAACTAGCCACCGGCTGCCAAAATATTGAATTAGTCCATTGATTTTGACTTTTCAACAATCTCTCACTTGAAGATTTGATTGGAACAATCATATCTTCACACCATTCTTTCTACCTTGTACCTCTTTGTTGTATTCCAATGCTCTTTGCCTGGATTTGCCATGTACCGACTAACCACTCTCACTACTTGTGCAATGTCTGGTCTTGTGCATATCATAACAAACATTAAACTTCCCACTGCCGATGCATACGGTACTTGAGACATCTTCATCCTCTCTTATTCACTGCTAGGACTCATACTGTAGGATAATTTGAAGTTAATAGGAAGATGGTAGAAATTGGCTCATAATCTTGCATGTTGAATCATGACAAGATCTTCTTCAAATAAATCTTTAATAAAAGCCAAATCTTCCTAATACTTCTGTCTCGGTGAATTTGCATCCCTAGAATCTTGTTTGTTGGTCTCAAGTCCTTCATTTCAAATTCCCTAGTCAGTCGTGCCTTCAATTCTTCAATATGATCATTGTTGGGTCCTGCAACCAACATGTAATCCATATACAACAATAATATAACAAAATTGTTATCACCAAACCTCTTGAAGTAAGTACAAGGGTCTGCATTAAGTCTGTTGTATCCAAGGACATAATGAAGGAATCAAATCTCTTATACCAACACCTTGGTGTCTGCTTTAGACCATACAGAGATTTGTTCAACCTGCAAACCAAGTTCTTCTTTTCTTTTTCTTCAAAACCTTCAGGCTGAAGCATGTAAATCTCTTCTTCAAGATCTCCATGAAGAAAAGTTGTTTTAACATCTAGCTATTCTCGATGTAAGTTCAATGTAGCACACATTGTCAAGACTACTCGAACTGTTGTTAGTCGAACCACAGAAGAAAAGATTTCATTGAAATCAATACCTTCTTTTTGAGCATATCCTTTGACCACCAGTCTTGCACGATACCTCTCCACTTGATCATTACCATTTCGCTTGATTTTGAAGACCCATTTGTTACCAATTGGCTTCCTTTCTTGTGGTAGTGACACAAGGTCTTATGTATTATTTTTATGAAGGGCTTCAATTTCTTCTTGCATCGCCATCATCCAAAGTAAAGCATCTGAATTGTTTATTGCCTTTTGGAATGTTGATGGCTCACCGTCCTCTGTTAAAAGGCAGTATGTAATATTTCCTTCTATAACATAATTTGAGTACCAATTGGGACGTCTTCTCACATGATCTGATTGACAACTTGTTGCAGCTTCAGAACTCTCTGGTTCTTGTTCATCATGTGCTGGTTCTACTTCAAAAGAATCTCCTTATTCAAACTCCTTTTCCTCATGTATATGTGTGGTCTCTGACTTTTCATCGCTATCATCATCTTCTTTTCTTTGTAGTTTATCTTCTACAAAGATAACATCCCTGCTGATGATCACTTTGTGAGCATTAGAATCCCACAAGCGATACCCGTTACTTCATCAGCATACCCCAAAAATTTGCATTTCCTGGATTTTGGATCCAACTTTGAAATTTCTTGTGAGTTATACATCACATATACAATACTTCCAAATACATAGAGGTTTGAATAATCAGCTGGTTTACCAGTCCACATTTTCATTGGTGTCTTCAGCTCTATTGCAGTTGATGGAGCTCGATTCACCAAATAACATGTGGTATTGACTGCTTCTGCCCAAAATGATTTTTCTAGCCCTGTAGCTCTCAACATTGCTCTTGTTCTTTCTAACAAGGTTTTGTTCATCCGCTCTGCCACTCCATTTTGTTGAGGAGTGTTCGTCATTGTGAACTGCCTTTTGATGCCTTCTTTCCTGCAAAAGTCATCAAATTCTTCACTTGTGTATTCTCATCCATTATCTGTTCTAAAACATTTGATCTTATTTCCAGAATCAAGTTCCACCCGCGCATTGAAGTTTTTGAAAGTTGAAAACACATCTACCTTCTTCTTAATAAGGTACACCCAACATCTCCTAGAGTAGTCATTAATAAATGAGAGAAAGTATTTTTCTCCGCCTAGGGATGTAACTGGTGCTTGCCATACGTCAGAATGAACTAATTCTATAACACTTTTGTCTCTAAAACTTGGCGTGTTGAATTTCAACCGGTGCAACTTACTTGTTATGCAATGCTCACACAAAGTAAATGATACCTTTGTTAAGCCTGGAAGTATCTTTTACTCCACAAGGACTTTCATTCCTTGTTCTAACATTTGTCCAAGTTTTTGATGTCATAGCATTGCATAATCTGAACTACATGAGGCAACAGAGGCTTCTGCTTCTAGCAAAGTCTCTCTCTTCAGTATGTACAAGTTTGTTGCTATCTTTTCGTCTTTCATCACCATAAGCGCTCCACGGAACACCTTCATGATTCCTTTCCGTGTTTAAATCTTGCTTGCATTTTTATCCAACAATCTGTAGGATAATAATTATTTTTCAGGCCTTTCACGTGTCGCACATCTCGAGCAACTTTAATTGTTCCATTATACATCTTTAATTTAATGGTTTCAACGCTAATGATATCTAAGGCATGATCATTGTAACTATACACAGATCCTCCTGAGACAGGTTCATAATGATGGAACCATTCTCTTCTTGAGATCATGTGATATGTTGCTCCTAAATCAATGACCCATATATCTGTAAATCTTTTTCTACCTTCCACGGTGGTTGGCGCTTCACAACATATAACATCTCCATCATCTGAAGTGTTTGCGGTATTGCCTTGTGGATTGGAGTTTTTATTTAGACTCCAACAATCCTTCTTCAAGTGACCATTTTTTTCACAGTTGTAGCACTTTAAATTATTTTTGCTTCTCAACTTTGATCTACCATGTTTGTGACTGATATTTTTGCCACGTTCTGTTAATCTCCCTTTCATCGTTGTCAACGCTTCTGCTTGTTGCAGATTTACTTGTCTATCTTCCTTGTTCTTGCGTCGATTTTCTTCTTGTAGAACAGCAGCTGCAACGTCATCGAAGACTAGACTGGTGACATTACTGTTTGTCAAGTTGATGATGAGTTGATCATACGAATCATGTAGACTTTGAAGTAGAAGTTCAACACGTTATTGTTCTCCTATTGTACATTTTAAGGATGTAAGCTGAGAAAATAAAGTGTTCAATGTGTATAAGTGCTCCGTCACTGAAGTAGATTATGACATCCGGAGAGTGTACAATTTCCTCTTAAGGAAAATTTTATTGTGCAACAATGTGGCCTCGTACAGTTTGGTGAGATGATCTTTCATCTCATTAGTTATCTTTTTCTCCTCGATGCTTGACAATACTTCATCTGCTAATGCTAGATGAAAGTTTGCCATAGCATTCCCGTCCATTTCGATCCATTTGTTATCATCTGTAAAATCTACCGGCCTTTCACTGATAGCTGCTAGACAACCATATTTCCTCATGATGACCTTCATCTTCAATTTCTACAATGAGAAATTTCTCTCATTGAACTTTTCAATATCAAATTTCGTTGCCTTAGCTTCTATTACGGATAACTCTCACTATTTCACTATCGTGAATAGTTCTCTAGAACCTTCAAAGAATGGGTAATACCTTCTTACTTTCTTATGTTGGAGGATCCACCTTTTGGTAGCAACCACAAAGACAATAAGTAGATATTACACACTCTGATCTGGCTCT